GCTGTGAACTGGACAGATTGAGAGAGAGCGAGAGAGAGGGAGTGAGAAACAGAGAGGTTGAGAGAGATAGCGAGAGCAAGAGTTCATAAATATACTCAATCAGTTTTCAGCACTTGTTTAATTGCCAACTAGTTAAAGTACTTGGCCAAGAAGCATTAATAATTACACTTATATTTCAGTTATATCATCAATAACTAATGTCCAAAAAGTTTGTTCAATTAAGTCGAGTTGTCCTTCCAGTTTGAGCGACGGGCATATTAATAAGGCATAGCTTACGGCTCGTTCAGGCATATTTGCTGAGTGTTCTCGGCTCTTTCAAGAGAATATTTTAAGATGCACGAAAGCTGCTTCGATTTCGACTCATTTACGGGGCATCAGTTAAAAGCAACAATAATTAATGCTGAAAGACAGTCAGTTTGCTTCTCTTTGGGTGCTCAATTGGCTTACAAATTTTAAGAGCTCTAAACAGAATGTATATCTGTAGTGGAAGGTATATATCTTAATATATATATTTATTTATATTATACATTTGATTCATATAATAACTATTCAGATTGATTGAAACTCTTTAAGAGAACTTTTTATACCCGTTTTGAAGCAGCTCTTAGCTAATGTAGCTCTGATTTGATATCTTTGGAGTTCAAGTTTCAGCAATAAAACTTTTATGTCTACACATTCTTAACTCTTTTCAAGTCATCTGTTATAACAAATCAGACAAGAAAAACTTTTAGCCAAAATTCAATTCCCTTCGTTAACATATTTATTTGATTTACTGACCCAAAGGTTTGTGCTAACAATTCGAGTTTATTTATTTTAAATTGATTTGGTTTCTTGGTATGACCCTCAAATCTTATAACCTGGTGGGATTCTAGAGAATTCTGTAGATGGAACGGAAATGGTAATGTTCAGCTAGTTGGGATGCGTATCATTTGATAGACCGTGACTGAAGCGCCTTTGCTATCTCATAAAATTGGCCTAAACGACGATAGTTCTAAATGATTTTTTTTATATATATTTCGGATTAGCTCTTATATGCATATGTATGTGCTATGCGCATTCAAATTTCTATCATCAGCTTTCTAAAGAAGAATTAGTTATTCAAAGATATATAAAAACAATATAGGTCTCAACAATATTCTTCTACCTCCAAAGGATTTTAGCCCCCGTCAGCTACGCTCCCACATCAAACCTTTTAATCCATATTACCTTAACAATGCCAGATATATTCTTATTAAAAATGTCTACACAATGCCTGCAGCTAAATACGTAATTGCGCAATTCATGATAACGGGCTCAAAGCATATAATTAGAAACAACTCTGAAATGTTTCAAGCATTTCATGGGCATTGTTCAAGAACTTTGAGCTTAATTATTGTAAACTAAACTCAAGAGCAGCAGCAGTAGCAGGAGGAACCACTTGAAGGCGTCTTTTTAGAGGGCGCTGCACGAGAGAAGAAGATGAAGAAGCAGCATTAAAAAGCTGCGTGTCCATTTGGGCTATAAGTTTTTCTTTCTTTCTTGTTTTTTTTTGGCCATTTTCCCGGTTAGCTGACAAAGTCATCAAAATTTCACAGCCACTTGGGAAAGCAGAAAAGCGCAAAATTTTTATTGTTTTTTCATTAGGCGTCGGTGGTGGCTGCTCGGTCAATGTTCACGAATTTCGACCAGGGGCCAAAGAGCATAGAAAACCAGCCTGGCAATTGACGCCTGGGACACACGCAAAGAACTTAGTCACGGAGCAGGAGGTGCGAGTTTGGGGTGGGGCCATAGCAATGGGCGGGCCTAACATGGTCTGCAGGGACTCTTTGGCATTGAAGAGACAAGTAACTGGAAATGGTTGTTGCTCTTCCCTATTTGTGCGAGCTAAGCGCTGAGCTTTCTATTAATTTAGAGCAGGAATAAACGAATTTGTAACGTCGATTGAACAGATACATAAATATATTGTAGACATTTATTAAGAAATTTGTTAGATTATGAATTAAATTGAATCTTTTTCGAGTTTTGCGATATATTTAGAGATGAGTTTAGTAAAAGTATAGGATATGAGGCACAATTGTTGTAGATGTATAGGGTATACAAGGAGTGAGGCTAAGTTATAAGCAAATTAAATGTAGTCTACATAACTAGATTTTACTAGCTTACACAAGTCGAAGAACATGCGACAATTGTAGACCAACCTTTAGCTAAGTCATCAATACACCCCACATATACTTAATACAGGGTATTTAGAGCCCAAACACACGCGCGCGTCGCATTGAACAACCGAATGGATGAGCACGCGAAAAACTTAATGAACTACATGAAAAGCGGACGCGGCTGATTGTTGCTACGTTTCCTCACTCTCCAACTGTCTGTCTGTTCGTCTCTCTGTGTCTGTGTGTGTGTGTATGCTTGTGTATTTGTGTGTATGCTAACTAAGCGCTGCGCCATTGGGAGTTTGTTGCTGGCGCTCAAGTATGCTTAGAAAATCCTCCAGAGCACGTTTCCGGAAATAAATAAATAAAATCCAAAAGAGAAGCTCGAGCAGGCATTGGCATTGGAGCAAGCTGACCAGGCTGCCTACATTCCTTTGAGGGGGAGCAAAAATACAAAAAAAAATAAATAAAAAAAGCCAGCACAACTAAAATAAAAGGCAAGCAAACGAGCTTTACATAGAAATTGACGTGTCCGAGAGTCAGTAGAACCAGCAGTAAGCAACAAGGATATATGGAGCAAGGCAAGGCGCATAAATTGCCTTAAAATTTTAATGATACAAAATTATTTTTTGGCAACTGAATGAAGCATTCACAAATGTTGCTGCCACAAATAAATTTTATGTGTGTGTGTGTGTGGGTGTGCATATTTGTTGCTGCCTGTTGCTGCCTTTGCTACAGCTGCATTTGATTTGTAATTTAATATTAATTAAAAAAGCAGCAGCAGCAGCAGCAACCGTCGCAGCATCTTCTCAAATTTGGCCCGCATTGCTAACTTTGAAGCTCAGCTGCATAGTGCTTTTAGATGGAGCCTGCTCTTAACTTGGCCAGCAGCAGCAGTAGCTGATAAGTTGAGGTAGCTGCTGGCCAGCAGTCAACGAACCGAGTTGAGTAAATAATTTTATTGCAAAGACATTAAAATTTTAAATGCCGGCGCTCACTCAGTCAGTCTCTCTCGCTCTCTTCCTCACTCTTTTGGGCTCTAGTATCTGCTCTATTCAAAGTCTGTCTGTCGCACCTCTTCGCTTTGCGCCTGTGGATTTTATGCGTCGTCAACAGACATGCGGCATTTTCTGTTGCTCACTCCAGCCAGTCTCCCCGCCCCCTCTCTACCCGAATGTATTCCCCCTCTCAAAGCCCCAGGCTGGGCCCCTCAGCTCCTTTTTGTTGTTGTTGTTGACTGCGCCAAAAACTTTGCCACTGGGAGTTTTTGCCTGGCGTCTGTCTTGGCGCTTGCTCGGTTTTTACGACATCGGTGCTGTTGCTGCTGCTGCTGCCGCTCCTTCTTCTCCTTTGTGTTACCGTCCAGCATGTGTGCGTGTGTGTGCGTGTGTTTCTGCATTAACAAAACTCAATTTCAACTTTTCACTCTGTTCATGTGGAAAAGTTGCCAGCAGCCTCAAGTCTGGGGCCAAAATAAAAAAAAAAACATGGAAAGGAAAGGAACGGAAAGAAATACCTAGAGAGAGACAATCATTATGCCCTGTACCAAATTAGTTTGAAGGTATGTCCAGTGGGAGGAAACCTCATAAAATTTACCAAAAGTTCTACTCAAGTTCGAAAATAAAAAAATATAATTTTTTATTCGTTTTATTTGATGCGCCTAAAGTTGTATTTTTCTTTGCACAAAGAAGCCACGAAAATTTGGTTTCATTACAATATTTATTAAAAATATATTGCCGTTTCTAAAAAATATTTAAATTATTAAACTTGGATGGAAAGTCATATTTGTAGGGTATTCGCATAGTTGAGCCATGGTCCTATAGCTCTTCATTTAGCTTTGCTAAAACTGAAATTGAAATACTTATTTGATGTACGCATTTATGTTTTTATTTTTGCGAGGAATTTTAATAAAAAAAAACCAAAAATGAAAATATCTAGAGAAAAATCTGTAATGAAAATGTTGAACTCGGCATGCATAAATCAGTTTTATAGTTATGTAAAAGTAATCGTAATGCACAATTAAATATGCGCCGGACAAGGCGAAAGTTGGCAGGCAACCAACCAAGCGCAACCAGCGGCGACTAGTCCCAGTGTAATTTATGTTGCAAGCGACAAAGCCAAAACACAGAGCAAGATAAATATAGCAGAGAGACTCTCGGACTCTTACAGAGACTTGGCTTTTGGCCGGAAACCGGATGCAGGAAGACGCCATAAAGGCAACATTTTTCATGGCTCGCCTGGCCTTAGATGCAAACGTGTGCACGCTGCAATGGGGCGTGGCTGCAAATGCCTCTAATTAGATTGAATAAGCGCTTGGTTTCTAGTCACCCTATATATAAGTTTAAATGTATATATATATATATTCTGACGACTCGTCGATAAATCAATGCCCCGACAGCTGGCCGACAGACGATGCGCTGATTGATGATCCACGAAATTACAAATTACACAAATGTTATGCGAATTGGCAGAGATAAAATCGGTCGGCACTTGCTCACCGAATCACTTAAGCGTAACACCTTATTTGCACTGCCGCTCGACGACCCACGCTGTTTGGATAAATGTAATTTGGCCCAATACAAAATTTGATTGATTGTTGTCCATCAGCCACGCTGAGGTGCCAAAATCCAAAGCCTAAAGCTCTAAGCTAAGCGAAATGCTGTCTTTTGTGAAGTGATTAAAATTTAAGAAGCCTGCAGACAATTTAAATTGATTTTCGACAGCTCAATGAATATATATATATATAAGTATATATAAGTATCGTTGTTAGCTTATATTTATTATAAAGCAAATATTTAGATTTCCATCTCCCTGCTTTAAATTATTTTGCAATTACAAGCAGTGGAAATTTTTAATTTATTTGCCTCAGCTTTATTTTCGAAGATGTTTTATATTTCATTAGAAATGTATAAATTGTTATTGTTCTTATAGATATGTATACAATTTCGATACGCTGCCAATTAGAATTTCCAATTTAAGCGAACTTCAATGGCAGTAAATCAATAATTAATTACTTAAAGATCTCTTGCATTTGCCGTTCATTGTTAACAGTTTGTGGCTTGTTAATGAGTTAGTTGGCAGGATTACGCTTAGTAGTCGAACTGATGCGGATCCATTTCGAAGCGTTTGAAACGTTCTGAATATTGGCCAAAGAAGAAACTTTCGAGCTGTAAGATTTTAAAAGTGCGATATTCCTCTGCGGAATGAAAGCGCGTGTTGTAGGCGCAAATGCATTGATTGGGCAAGGTCTCGATATATTTCGAAAGGTTCGGCAGATCGACGTCGCAGGGCATGTGCAAGACATTGAAATCGGTGAAGTCGGTTTGGCACGACACCTCTCTGCGTCGCTGAACGTGATCCATGGATACAGTGGCTGCCTCAAGCCTCAAGCCGTCGGAAGAGGCTAATTCAGTCACGGAATCCGATGGGGGCGCCGTTATTGACCGGGCCCAGCAGCTGGGCAAACGATTCTACGGGCTATGCGTGAGAGAGAAGCTAGATAAGTGCAGCTAAAGAAACAGCCTTACCAATACAATGAATGCGCCAGCTATTGGTAGTAAAATGTCAAGTGGAAACTGCATTTTCTGTAGGTATTCTTATATAAATAATTATATGTATTTGTATATATATATGTATATGTATATGTATGTATATATATATATATATTTGTATAAAATGACGTGTGATATGTTAAGTCGATGTTTACTAGGACTTGGTTGGCTTTGTGTTTATTATGGCAAGACAGAGTTCGGTTAAGCCGAGCCAAACGATAGCTCATAAAAAGCGCGCACATTTGCAAATTATGGCCAACATGTGCGCCAGGCGAAAATTGATAACCAGTTGCCCAACAGTTTTCACACACTATCACACACACACTCACTGGCACACACACTAACTCGATATAGCATCAATTACCCACGCCATGTGGTCAGACAGCAACGCCTGAAGACTCGAGCGCTAGTTGGCTGGGAATTGAAACAGGCAAGCGTTTATAGGCATACTAGACTAGCAGATACCCAGTAGTTGGCATTCTTGATCCACAATGCTTTAAATATAACGTCTATCTTTGTGTCCAAACTTTTAGTATATATATATGTTCTTTACTTATACAAATTCTAGTTCTTGGACTGAAAAAGTGTCTGAGTGAAAGAAAATTTGATAAGCATTGTGGAATCCTTCGCAAATTATATTTTAAGTTATCAACTATATAAATTCCCCAAAAATATGACCTGCTGTTAGATAATTATCGATGTAGTGAAGAAAAACTTTTTGTAGATAAAAATGAAATTTTAGAAATATAAACTTAGCCTCATTTCCCGTAGAATTTTTAGATATATCGACAAAGTTCATTGACTTCAACAAGTCGAATTGTTGGTAAAGCTCACGTCCATTTTGCTAAAGGTACAGGGTATAAAATGCGTGCACTGAATCCAGCCGCTGGGTGGCTTGTGTGGTGATAGTGAGTGCAATGACAGCGACAGCGACAGCGGATGCTAGGATATTAGAAAAGCCACACGGCCGTACAGAAGCATGTAAAGTGACAGCCAAGTGCCATACACACACACACACACACACACACACACACACACACACACACACACACACACACACACACACACACACACACACACACACACAGATATACTCGCCCATACACAATGGTCAGCATTGATAATGACCAACACTGCAAATCGATATGGAACATTTCAAGTGTGAAAATAATATGACAGGAGTAATCAAGGCGACAACAGGGGAGCACGCTCTAACCCAAGCTAACAGCATTTGCGCACAGCTATTGATATTGATTTCAGACGCGGTAAAACACGTCGTATACGCAACGTGGCAAAATGTAAGCAGCGGCAGCGGCGGCCTGAAAGGCAAGGCAACAGGAAATGGGCAAAATAACTGTGCGGAAATGTTGAGAGCGCATTGCAATGAGTCCCCAGTTGAATGACTGCCTGGCTGGCTAGCTGGTTGACTGTGCTGTTAACACATGTCACTGGGCCATAATTGCAAGCCATATATGCGAGATGGCTGGTTGGCTGGAGCTGTAACTGGAAATAGAAATGGTGATGGGAGTGTGATGGGAGCCACAGACAAGCTGGGAATGAATGACAATTGTTTTGACACGCCTGACAGCTAGCGGTGGGGCGGAGGGGTAAGGGGGAGCATGGCCAAAACGATCAGAGGCAGCTGTCAAAAGCAGACAACAGCTGCCATTACACACACATACACATACACATACGCACACGCACACGCACGCAGAGTTAAAGCACAGTCCATGCACATGCTGATAAGATTCATAGCACCCAGGCGCACTCCCACGCAAATAGAATTTTTCATGCTGTGTGACGTCTAAAGTTGATGTGAAAATTAGTTTGTTGTGCGTTTGCGTTGAAATGCAACTTAATTAGCAAAACTTTAAGCACTTTTCAATTATGCAAAAGCAATTGCATAAGTCTCTGTCGGTGTGAGCGTGTGTGTGTGTGTGTGTGAAAGCTCTGCTTGTGCCTTAGCAGTTAATTTCGCATTCAATTAAGCTAAAGGCAGCGCATGACAACTCAAAGCCCCAGAGCAGAGCTAAACTAGAGACCATGCAAGGCAGCTCCTTTGCGAGCGCTTAGCCACTTAAATTGGCAACGTGTTGCAAAGCAAAGTCAAATGCGTTCGCCACGCAATGCTGCGCTGCTTGATTATGGCTCTTCTGGCAAACCTAACAAATCTCTTTAGTTGACTGCTCTCAAAAGTCTAACCATTGATTAATAATCTCTCTCACTCTCTCTGTCTCTCTGCTGTATAAAGTCTACATTTTATCCGACTGCATGCCACATGGGTCCTGTCTGACTGCCTGGTTGCTAGGTTCCCTGGCTGGCCTGGTAGCTGGCCTATGCCTAAAGCTGCCTCTGTACAGCATATATATTTAGCTTGCGACAGCAAATTTGTAGCCAGCTGCATGTGGCGACCCCTTCCTGCTGCCGTTGATGCCCCTGATCCACTGTTCAAGCACTTTTATAGCTGCAACTGACGCTGTGCTGCCCATTGCCCGCACTTTGTTGCCTTTTGTAATACCCTGTGGCGGAGGCTAAAGGAGTCGTATGATGAATTTGTGTAAAGTTACAATGAAAAAGCGAAAGATGTGCGAGAGAAGATATATTAAATATATATATTATATTGCATGGGGTCTACGACATCATAAGAGGCATATGCTTTAGTAGATATATCATAGAATAGTTAATTCAGTTTGACTATTCGAGTTAAGACTTGTCTGAACAATAGCTGAAATACTGCTAATTTATTATTATGCTTCATAGGTTGATGTCTTCCTATCCTAACCTGAACATATAGATGGAAAGCTAATGAAAATGAATATTGATCTGTCTATATATATATATAACTTTCGTATGCCATGTGCTGACTACGATTTGAACCTCTTTCAGATCTAGAAACGCAGCATAGCTCTTCAGCAGTCGTGCATGCCCATGCCCATATTGTTCGAATATTAATGCGATATTTTTGTTTGTTGTTTTTTATTGTTCTTGACGTCGTTCGTAGTTGTATTTCATTTTGTTTTGCTTTTTGCGCGAAGCGAACCTTTTGTTTATTTGCGCTTCGGCGGATCACAAAAACTGTAATAGCAGCTGCAGCAGCAGCAGTCCGTGCGCTAGGCCAGGACATGCAGCAGGGCGCGAACGTAGACGTGAACGCGGACGCTGGCACCTCGCCACAAAAGCGAAGCAGCGTGTGTGCAGCTAAAGCGCAGCTAACAAAAATGTTTATGTGCTGCTGGCGCTGTGCTCGAGAGTGGGCTGCTGAAAGAAAAACCTGTTGTAGGAGTGAGGGAGCCGAGCCGGGGGGGCGTGGCAAGATTGCAGTATGCACGTATGTGCAGTTATAAATTGCAGCTCGTGCGCAACGTTTGCCAGTCAGAGGCAGTCTGAGTGAAGCGGCATACGAGATGGCGTCAAAAAGAGAGCATAGTCTAGAGAGAGAGAGAGATAGAGAGGTGGGAGGAGGAGGTGAGTGAGTGTTTGTGGTTGTATGTGTGTTTGAGTGTTTGTAACATTTGGGGGCTGGATAGTTGGTTAGTTGGGTTAGTTGTTGTGTGGCAAAGCCACAGGCAGAGCGAGGTCGCTCGAGCTGCAGGTGATGCATCTGTGGCCGTCCAAACACGTTGCGTGTGTGTGTGCGTGTGACGTGTAAAGGGCGGAAAATAGTTAGTGTAATAGAATTAACAAAACAAAATAAAAGCTAAGCACAATTAAATATTTGCGCTGCCAGCCAAGGCAACACTGTGGCAGCAGCTGCTGCAACAATTGTTGTTGCCCTTTGGAATATTGCTAAAATTCAACTCAAAGCAAAAGCAAAAGCAAAACAATTATAGGTGCGAGGCAGGTCATCCGTTAGCTGCCACACGCAACACGCTGTTGCAACACGGCAATTTGTATAATCAAAAAACCATTTGAAAATGTTTTCGTAACTAGCCCAACGCAAAAAATAAATATATTTTTGATAAGAGCGGCAAATTACGTGTTGAAAGTAGAGTTCATGGTATCTGCTAGTCGAGCACTCTCCACTGGATCGGTCTGTTTGTTTCACAGTGCTGCGGTTGGCTCCATTTATGTTTATTTGCATTTTGTATTCTCTGCAATTTGCATTTTCGCAGGTGGGCGTGGCACACCCGACGCCCTGCTCCAACAGCCATCAATATGAATCGCTTCAATAAATAACGTAAAGCGTAACAATGCGGGAGCCTGAACCCAAAAAAAAGACCAAAAAAATGTTTAAGTGCTTTTAATTTGATTTTTATTTACCTGAAAACGCACGGAAGAAGAGGAAGCACACAGCTGTAGAGCCCTTAACTAAATATATGTATAAATACGCAGGGCTCAGTGCAGCCACAATTAAAGCGATCTTAATCAATGAATTTTTGGATAAAGGTATTAGGCAACAGATAGTTTTAATGCAAAGCTACACTATATGAGACCTACACTGTTATCCACTTAGCTTAGAAGGTTATATATATATATATTAATATATATATATATATATGTATATATATATAAATATATATATATATATATTTACTCGTGGTGTAGAAGAAATAATAATCTTCCTAAATATTTCAACAGCTGCTTACCTGAAAGCAGCTCAACTTGTTTTTATTTTTTAATCTGCTTTCTATAAAGTTTAAGACCCATCTTAAAGCAAATTTAAAGAACTTCTAGCTCAGTCTTTTTGGGTTAAGCTAAAAGTTTTTGCCATCGTAACTTTGCCTAAAACCAAACAATCTTTCAACTATAAAACATTATGAGAAAATACTCATTAAATTTCCATTAGAATCGCCTGCCCTTCGAAATGATAAACTAAACTTAAGCCTTTAACTCGCTATGAATCTCCATATTTGTAGTCAGCTAAAACTTTGGATCGATTTTAATTTAATTAAAATAAAATCTGAATCACTTTGAATTGGTTTACAGATGCCAGCAATAATTTATTCACATTTCAAATACTTTAGCGCTTTTTACAATTCAAATATATGCATATTTTCATTGAAAGGCCGAGCTACTTATTAATCTGTTAAATGCGCATTTTATTGAATATATTAAATGTTTTCATATTCATTGCCGGTAAATATTTCATTTATCATTTATCATTTATCATAAACTTTGGGCAGGCCATAAATCATGGCCCATCAGCACATTTGTTGTATGTTTTCGGTTAACAATGAAATATTTCCAATTACTTAAAATCAATACAATACAATACAAGCTATCTCCAGGCTGCCTTAACGAAGTTTTAAAGTAAACAAAAAGTTTAATTTTAATCAGCTTATATCTGAAAATGCAATTAGTTTGCTCAGTGATAAGTGCTGTGTGGGTCGAGTCGGGCCAGTCCCTGGGACGATTGTCCGGCTGCCATTTGATGCTGTCACATTTAGCTGACAAATGCGCGCGCATTTGGCATAATCTGGTTACTGTTTTTTTTTTTTTTTTTTTGTATACCCTGTATACGTTAAGTGTCAGGATAGAAGAAGAATTCACAGCTTATACTCTACACATATTATTTGATCTATATACACTACATTCTTTGCTGATATTTCTCTTATTAAATACTAAAGTTAGGATTCAATTAGCTTGCCTTTTTCGTTTACTGTGCGTATACTTATTATACTTCTACACTTTTTAAGTTTAACGTCTAGTTATATAACTTATACTCAATCACACTAATAGATTATATATATTTATTGTCTCATTTTGAAATTTAATATTTAAATTTTACTATATTTATATTACCTATGTCTCTTTCTCTTTCCTTATCCCACTTGCTCTCTTCTCTTCTCTTTCCTACTCTCTTTCTTTATCTTTGCACCCTGTCTCCCTACCTTTGCTGCTCCATCTCTCACTTTCTCTTTCTTAAAGAATAGGAATTATCTATCAACATCTTCCATAAATCATAGGAGAAACCCCCCAAGCAACTCTCTGACCATCATAACCATATATAATAAGATGTCATCTGTCAGAGCTTACAGGGTATTCCCGCATCAAGTACACCTAATTCAAGCCCTACTTAAGCGTGTTGTTTTTCGTTTTTTGGTTAGCTTTTGGCCAGAGGATAGGATATCAGAACCCTAATGTGGCCAGCAAGGCGAAACCGCACCCCATTGTCCGCTATCTGCTGCCCGTAAACTCCTTTTCGCTTGACGCTGAGGTACTGTCAACAGCTTTGTAATTAGTTGCCTGTTTGTTGTTGTCGTTGTTTTTGGTTCGTTTTTCTTCCTTTGCACTCCATGGTCACCATCGCTCTTCGGGCTGTCGCTGCTAATGTCAGCGCGAGATTGATGGCGATTCATTTTTTAGTTCGCTGCCATGCGAGATGGACAAATGCTGACCATCATTTTTGAGCTGTCTCCCGTCCACGCGGCCGGAGTCGCATTGCGTGTACATAAGGCTTTAATTAGCCAAGTGCCGCGGCGAATGCTCAGTGCTGGATACTGAATCCTAAGTGCTGAATGCTGAATGCTGAATGCGAAAATGATAATGAATCGCCCAAAGCAAAACCGTATCGCAAATTCAAATATTGTCAGCGAGTGGAAATTGTTAAATTGAAATGCGTTTGCTTTGGCAAATTTGCATAACAGCAAAAATTGTACTACTCTCTGTCTCGCTCACTACTTCCCTCTCTCTCCATCTCAGTCGTCTCCATCTCAGTCGTCTCCATTCTTCAAATAAGCATTGCAATTGCAATAATATTGACTAAACTCACAATAGAAATGCATATGGAAATAAATATATAAATATATATTTCTATATTGAATATTTAATATATTCAATATATATATATATATAAATATGTATAGTAGCAGAAAATTGCTATATTTTCGCACTCTAACACAGACCATACATAAAAAATATGTAATAAAAAACAGGCATTGTAAACGACTACAAAAGGCCGCAGTGTTTGCATCACATTTATAGAGAAGATGAATTTGATGCATCAAATATGAATTAAATAGAAATGATTATGTGCCTCACATTTTTCTTTAAATATTTTTCACTTTATCCTAAAATTAGTAAACAAAATATTAAAATAAATCAAACAAGAAATATCAAAATTATATTTAAAAAAAAAAAATATATATATATATATATAGTATAAAGTATATTAAATATATAACAAATATATTTTGTGAATTTCTTATAATATAATTTTCAAATTTCATATCAATTATTTTATGCGCACAAACTCACCTGTCTGGTAGATATTTGAAAATCAAAAAACCTTTAGAATTCTTAACAATACACCACGCCTGAGCTGACTGTCAATAACAGGGTATCACAACAACAGTTGCCAAGCGAAGCGTTGACAAAACCCCAAAGAGGTAAAAATTTAACGGAATTGCAAATGCTGTTGACACTTGCACAACGCAAACAATTGTCCGCAATCTGCTGCTCTCTCACCTCGCTGCAGCTCCAACTTCGTCTCTCCCTCTCTCTTTCTGGCACAACACCTGCTCTATTTGGCGCTGTCTCGCTCTGTGCTTGGCTTTGGGTTTTTATTTGAAATCTGGTTTGGGTAGCGTTTTGGCAATTTTCATGTTTGCATAGTTTTTGGCAACACTTGATTGCCTTTTGGCTTTGGCCGGAACGCAGAGCCAACCTGGCTAAACAAATCCAGCTAGAGAGCTTGACAGAGCGCCTGTGTCTGCACCATTTTTGTTCTCTTTTTTCTTGGTTAATATTTTAATTTTTTTTATATATGTCATCTTTCTTTTTGCTCTTCTATTTGTCGCTTTTGCGTAATCAAAAACAAAAATTTAAATAATTGCAATGAATTTTTTCTTATTTTCTCTTTTCTGTCATGCTGACAAATTAGATAAGTTTGATATGTGTGGGGGTGTGTGTGTGTGCGTGGCACATAAATCATATTTAGCTTTGCGGCGCCAGCGAACATTCAATCAAAGTGCAACAAATCCCTCAAATTTGTTATGCGTCACGTACAACTGTCAAGCCGCAGATGTGTGTGGGTGCGTGTTTGCCATTTATATGAGACTTTAAAGTCAAGCGAGCCTAAAAGCTAATACACATATATATAGATATTTCAATATTATTTAATGCAAAGTGCGGTTTGACTTGGGGTCTTGTTTATGCTTATGGAAATAATCGTAATAGTAATCGTTATCGGAATTGAAAATCGAAAGCGTTGCGCACGACTCTGCAGCCCAACCTTCTTTAGCATTTCACTGGGTTATCAACTTTACACTCAACTGAATATATTTTGGGGCATTTCTTGATGCCAGCCACGGCTTATTAAATATTGAATTGATAAGGCAGTGACTGACTGTATGACAGTTTTTGTTGTTGTTGTAGTTGCCTTTTCCTTTTTTGCGGATGCCCTTAACTTATTAAAAATGGGAATGGAGGATGCGTAACAGGCAGCAGTAGAGTTTCATAAAATATATACGTATTCCAGAGTCCATAAGGAATACAAATTATTGTGGAGAATCCACAGCTTAGGTAATCTAATACTGTCCTTCTGTGCGTCTTTAAGTAACTATATATCCGTTCATCTGAGAAGACATGAGCTAGATATGAAATAAGAGCTTCAGAGAACATAAATCGAACATAAAATCGATAAAAATCGATTTAAGGCATACGTCATTTCACATTAAAAGCTTCACTCAGCAAACTGTAGTAAATATAAAACCTATACCAAACTATGCACAGTTATGGAGTATGCATACTAAGGGTATCTACAAGTCAAGCACTCCCGACTAGACTACTCTTTTTGTCCCTATCGCTCGTATCTATGTGAAGCATTTGTTGCCTATTTCCTTTTTTTGTTTGTTGCCTAAGCGGCTTTTGCTCCGCTTTCGCGTGTATAGCACGTGCCACGCCCCCGCCGCTCATTGCCCAACTCGGCTGCTCTCAATACAATGCCACTGTATGCTAATATTGCGGGCATATTTTTCATGTCGCAATCATTTTGTGTGCCATTTTTTTTTGTTTCTACTTTATTTTATACTTTTCATTGTTGTTGTTGTTGGCATTGCTTAAGCGTTGATTGCAAGCATTTGCATAATTTAAGATTGTTCTGTTCACTGACACTCGACATACTCATACACACACACACTCACACACGCTCACAGAGTATATTTCAACATCGTGTCCTTACTCTGGCGGCGCATTAAAATGAAAATTCCAAGCTCAGTCGACGCTCGTTCAAGATTAACATATTTCTTTGAAGCTCCGGCTAAATTATTAAGGTTATAAATAGCAGTGTTGGTAGCCAGTGTTGTATTATACCAAGTGCCCATTAAACGAATGTAATGGTTATATTAAGATATTCTGTTGGCAGCGGCAGCAAGTAGCATTCTTGATCAACAGCTAAGTCAATTGGAACATGATTTAGCAAATTAAACGAGCGTTCATTTGTTCTATGTGTTTATATCAATATATAAAATTATATTATTAGATCAAGTTATTTCTTCGTTCTGTACTTCAAGTGTGGCCTTAATGATTGCAATTAGATGCCTTACTTTATTTTATCTTAAAGTATTATGTTTTTGAAGTATTTGCTTCTTCTCTTTCTCTCTCCCTCTTGCTATCTCGCTCCCTCTCCCTCACAGGCTCTGTTCCACAATCCCACATCATGTTCTCTTGCTATCATATTGTCCCTTTCGTATTATTTTAGCTACCCTCTTTGCTTTGTGTTACTTTTCCGTTATATATTTTATCTACTTCAAACATATTTCCTCTATTTTCTAGTAGCTTGCTAGCCTTTTATTCTTATTTTCTCTCAGTCAAATATGCCTTGCCATTCTCAGGTCTTCCTTCATCATGTATCCATTTTACAGGGTATCTGTCACTGCGAACCCTCTCAAATGAAACAGCTTTATTTTATTGCAGTCTCAGTCCTTTAGTTTGGCTTTTGCTTTTGCAAATATTGAGTGAGAAAAGAAAAAATAAAAGTTTCCCATTTCCATTTCAATTTCTTATTGCAGTTCAGCCGGTGGTAGCCGGTGGTGCAGCCTCCAGCAAAAACGACGACGACGACGACTTAAGCTGCCTTTTGACAACGACGATTGGAGGAGCCGGCAGGTAGCAATAGGGTAGGCGGCGGTAAGCATCCTGTGCTGTGGGCATGTCCACAGCCAAAAGACTGGTGCTCTCGCTACGTGGACGCAAAAATTCGCAGGGCAATTCGGCGACATCGTCGACGCGGCTCGTATCCGCTGGCACCTCGCCGGGCCATGAGCTGGACGAAATAGCCGTTGTCTCCGGCACCGGTTCGACTAGCCATCATTTCTCCTATGGCGGCTGTATTGGCAACAACAACGACGCCATCAGCGCCGCGGCTGTGGCCTGTTATTCAACAGGTAAGCTAAGCCCACATGCATAGATATATAAGCACACACACACATACACACACACGCAACCTCCATATCCAACCGCAGCTCCTGTGCACCCACAGCAAATGAAATGCTTAAGTACTTTTAGTAATACATTTTCCAATCCAATGCACAATGCAGCAAAACCACCAATTAACAAACCATAATCGGCAAATCGAATTCATTGACTGGCCACGCCCACCTCCAAAAGATACACCTGTAAACCTGTACACCCCACGCTCTCTGCATGCATTCGCATTTGTTGTGTAGAACTTAGTGGCGCATCTCTTAAAGATCAAAACACTTATATGTTTAAAAATTGCTCATCAAGTATCTTAAGTATTATAGCACATCAATAGAGAAGCTTAAGCGATTACAGGGTATATATTTGCTAGAAAAAACTTTTAAGTTTGATAGCAAACGGATTAATCATTAATGGACTCGATGTTACCTTTGTCTGCATTCCGACTCCAGCATTTTCTCTCAATGACCTGATTTTCTTTTCCTTTAGTTGGCATTTAAATTTTTTATATGGCTTTGGCTTTGGCTTTGGCATTTTGGTTGAAGCGAGAATTGCATTCGACAGTTGCAAACAATTTTTTTTTGTTGCCATTGATTGGCATTTCGATAATGTCAGCCAAAATAGACAAAGCCAACGTCGAGTCAAAGGTGCGCCAAACGATGCCATTTCGCATTTGCATATTTAATGCAGTTGAATGACTCCCAAATGGCACAACTTTAATGCCATCAGCAGCAAGCAGAAGGGGCACCATCATCATCATCATCATCATCATCATCATCATCATCATCATCATCATCATCATCATCATCATCATCATCATCATCATCATCATCATCATCATCATCATCATCGTCATCCTCAGCGTCATCATCGTCTTCAGCATCAGTTACCCGACAGCTCAGCCAAGCTCGAAACGGATTAAGTTATGGAAAATCGCAATCTCAGTGAAAAGGCAACAGTTTAGACACTCACCTTTCACCTTTTGTTATGTGAACTCATAAAAAGAAATGGTAATTTATTAAGCTTTGCATACTTATGCAGCGAAGGCCATAAAAACTAGAGAACTCTAAAGTTCATATACAGATATAGATGCATAAAATGCTATTTAGATACTTGCAAACTATTTGGAAACATTTAATTCGAGTTGTGGCTGAGCTGGAAGGAGAAGATTAAAGAATTCAACAACATATGAATTTCATATTATAATCAACTATTTGTTGCTATAACTAGCTTAAAAGTGAAAGCATTTGCAGAAACTATGTGAACTGAGGTAGCTAGCAATGCCTTTCTGATTGCTATCGAATGCCAAAAACTAGAATTTTACAATCGAAATATGATTGCATGGAAAAGGTAATCCCTTAAGGCAGTTTAGTGTATAGAAACACTAGAGACTAGCTTAAAACACGTAAACTATGAGCTATAGTAACTCTAGCACTCTGAAGCCTAAACCCTTCAAGTGCCACATCTAACTAAAAGTAAGCTTAAGCTTTATTTAAAATCGTTATTTACATTTGCTCTCTTGAATTCTAATAGGAAAGCAGCTGAATCCTTATAGACATATATATATATATTTAAGTTATTCAAAGTAAAGTCTGTCAGATATTTCCATGAGTTCGCTCACGATTGCATAATACATAAAATGGCCATAAGAAGCAGCTGCCTGACAGGCAAGCCAGCCCTGCCAGACGGCAGGTGAGCTGCTAGTTATGTGGCAGCGACTAGCCTACGTGTGATGTGCTTAGGCTGCTCTGATTTGACAAAGCGCCTTAGCCTGGGCTCCCATTTAGAAGGTAACTTGTATTTGTGAAGCCTGTCTGTCACAATTGAGCCACAAGTCAGTTGTCCTGCTGCCTGTTTGTGTCGTTGGCCTGCACAAATCTGGCGCTTTTTGTCTTGTGCATGGGGAAGGCAAAATAAATCAATCAAACGACAAATATGCTTAGACAATTGCCGAGCCCGGGCGCTGGCTATGGCCTACAGCTTGTGTTCTAATTTCATTGCCAGTCGCACATACACATACAGACACACACACACACACGCAGGCTCATCTACCGTTGTCTTTAGCCCAGCCACAAACGTAGTTCGTTTCCTTTTGCGGTTGCTTGGCTTGTCACATTTTATAGGCCGCATATGTTGCGACCATTTTTCTTCAGCCAGCTGTTGTTGTCTTTATTATTGTTGTTGTGGCACGTTCACTTTGGCTTACAGTTAATTTTGAGCGAAATTCAATTTATCATTGGGCGGCCCATAAATCCAAATTTCGTTTGCCAAGGAATCGGAGCCGTGCAACCTGGCCTACGAAAGTGGACAAATGAGATTTATGTGAATGATTCTGTTGTCGCATTCCATTTGTTTTCAACATCAGTTAAAAGCGACTGCAATTTGTAAGCCAACAGCAACAGCAGCAGCAGCAGCAGCAGCAGCAGCAGCAACAGCTTCACAAAATGAGGGTCAACGTGACGTATGCGCAATATGTTAAGGACTTCAACTGCAATATATAATGCCATGTGTAAGTGCAAGTACTTATACATATATGTATTTATATACATATGTGTGTGCCAGTGTGTGCGCGTGTGTGTGTGTGTGTGTCCGTGTGTAAGCTGCAAAGTTTTTCAGGCAGTGCTATTGACATTTATCGCTTGGTGGCTCGAATTTAATGACTGTTAAGTTGTTTATGTCCAAATGCACGCTTTAACGCTCGCACACACCCATAAACACTGCAGCATGTGAAGCGTGTGCAAAGAATGCCCAACTTTAGGTTATCCTGTAAATAGCTTGAATTGAGTCTGGGAGAGCTGCAGCGAGTGCTTTGATCAACTCTGATGCAACTAGCTAGCTATCCGTTTATCAGACTATATCAGACTCAGTTTTAGTTGAGTTGAATGGTCTTATGCATATTTCTGTCTAAGCTATCTCATGTTTCGCCTAGGGTTAGGGTATTTTTTGCCGTCAAAAGCACAGCTTCAGCTCCAGCCGCAACCACAACAACAGCAGCAGGAGCAGCAGCAGCAGCAGCAGCAGCAGCAGCAGCAGCAGCAGCAGCAGCAGCTAAAAATAAAACGAAACTTTTCAACTTTTGCCTTATTTTTTTCCCCAATTTTTTTCTCTCTCTCTCTTCCTCTTCCTTCTTTTCGCTGTCTATGAAGTTGACAATTTTTAGCATGTACGTACATTGCTCTTTCAAGACTATCCAAATGTGCGTGGCTCTGTGTGTGTTAGAGTGTGTATTTGGTCGTTGACAATAGCAATTTGGCCGTGGCTTTGATCAAAGTTTTTCGTTTTTATCCAGCCATAGCATAGCTAAATTGAATTTGACTCTTATGAAGCGGCGGCAGCTAAAATTGAACATATTCTCTGCCTTTTTTTTATTTTTAAGAGCTGCACGTGCAAAATAGGCCTCGAATAATCTAATTTGCTGTGTTCTGTTTTTAGCGTCAGATTTTATTAATAAATGAATGAAAAACCAGCAGCTACGTCGTCGCTTTGATGCCCTAACCGAGATGATGAAAAGTTTAAGAGCTGCATATATGTTCACATTTGATTATCTATAACTTCGTTTATATATATTTGAGTGTTAAAATTGAAATATTCGTATAAAAAAATTATTCACTTGCTTTAAGCTAGAACGAACATTTTTGTTGCCTACTTATTTGGGCAGCACTTGACAAGCTGTGTAAACTTGTTGCTATACATTTTTGTTTTATATGTTGCTATACACCTTTGCTATATATGCATCTAAAAATCTATATAGTGTCTCCATTAAAATTATTTATATAGCCATCAGATCTGCTGCCTTAAAGCACACTTCAAGCTGCAAACGTTCGAGTCATCAAGGATGGCCAAGTGCATGTCTTTGTCTATTATTACCTCCCACTCACTCTATGTTTTTTTTCACTCTCTCGCTCTTTGTCCGCCTGTCTGTTCAAGCCATAATTGAGCTTAGAGGTCTTATGGCAGCTGCATCATTGATTTGGCTGCCCAATACCCTAGTCGTCCACCTGCTACCCTTCCTTGGTTGGACAGCAACGTCAAAGTTTTGTTAAAAGTTTTTTCTTTTTGTTTTTTTTTTTTTTTTTGTTTTCTTGCTGCTGTTGTTGTTGTTTGTTGCCGGACCGTTGCGCTTGTTGTCAGCTTTAGAAGCGAACTTCAGCAGCAGACATAGCTGCTGCGAAAAGTTTTTCCATCTCGTTTTAAAGGTGATGTAGCGCAATCCATACTCAGCCCGCCTACCCTCCCCCCTCTCTGCCTCTCTCTCTATATATAGACTGTCGATGATTTGCGCATGTATAATTAGTTTTATTTACCACCTGGCACACAAATTTTAATTAGAATTTATGCATAGTGCCCAGCCTAACGGGGCCTGTGTGTATTAGCCGGCCAACTGGCTGGCAGCACCTCAAGTCTTTATAGCTGTAATCCCATCCGGATGGCTGGCAATGCCAGCGGAGGGTGCAGACAATTTGATTGCCATAGCTTTAGCTCGGCTGCGGTTGTAAGTAATTCGAGCATTTCAATTATAAAAGCAATCTTGACGCTCGATGTTTGTCGAACGCTTGGACCGTCGTTTACATTGTTGGCCATATTAGTTTACCAATTTGATGGCGCAGTTTAGATGGGCGCCCCAGCGCAGTTAACGGCAACTGCACCATGAAATTGAAATCCACGTAAATGCACGTGCTGGCTAAGCTCGTAGGGGAGGGAAGGGATCGTCGCTGCTGCAATAGCCAAATAGTTGGCAACGTTTCGGATTGCCACAAAGTTGCATTGGCAATGCGACATGGCTTACGGCTGCGTTTTAATTGTCATTCGTGTTTGTGCCAAACGAGCTGACGACCATGTTGCGTATACGCCGCTTCAGCCTGCGACAATGTTGCAAGTTGCGCACAAAACTATGCAACACAGGGAGAGAGAGAGCGAGTGAAGAGGGGGAGTGGGCAGCAGGTGTAGAGCAGCACAAAGGGGTACT